AACTAAGTTAAAATCATTTTAACCTGAATTTCATTTTGACTAGCAAGATACATGCCAGATATTCCCCAGAACATCTATACAACAACACATGTATGCCTATGACCACACGCTTCATCTCATCCTGTTTAAATAAACCCATTTTATATAGATAAAGAATGCATCCAGGGTTTACGGTGGTGGTGTTGTAATATAGCTCAAGGTTCTGAGTTTTGCAGCCCTCTACATTACCACTTCTGGATTTGAACTCCTCAGTGCAGAGTTTAATTCCTTGACCACACCAGGAAAGTTGACACCTACTGTCTCAGCTTTCCACCCACTGGGATTCCTATCAATGTTAAGATTGCCTATGGGACACACTGCTGTAAACAGGTTACCAGTTCAAAACATTTGTAACTTACAGTGCTTCTAGAGAATTCCTCACTTTTCAACAGTCCTAGTAAATATTGAAACACAGAGCATTGCAGTGCCTTACTGCCAATCCTTCGGACNCATTTTACATAGATAAAGAATGCCTCCAGGGTTTACGGCAGTGGTGTTATAATATAGCTCAAGGTCCTGAGTTTTGCAGCCCTCCACATTACCACTACTGGTAATGCAGTGCAGAGTTTAATTCCTTGACCACACCATGCAAGTTGACAGCTGTGGTCTTACCTCTCCAGCCATTGGGATTCTTAAGAATGTTAAGATCGCCTATGGGACACACTGCTGTAAACCGGTTACCAGTTCAAAACATTTGTAACTTACAGTGCTTCTAGAGAATTCCTCACTTTTCAACAGTCCTAGTAAATATTGAAACACAGAGCATTGCAGTGCCTTACTGCCAATCCTTCGGACAAACTGGAAAAACAAAGGGAAAAAGATAACTCATGAGAGCTCAAAAACTTCAGCATAATGTTCAATGATACTATAACTAAAAATTAAATCTTTCTGAAAATACAAATTTGAGCATATTTGTAAAGTAAATTTGGATCTGTGCATTCCAACCAAAGCAAACATTTTTGTACATGTGTCCCAGTCATTGTTATTATCTTCTGTACTCATTTGCTAATTAAGAGCAATTGTCAATTAGAAAATGTCACGCATCAAGTAACCCAATCATGTGTTCCAAATTTGCACTTTGCTCACTGGATGAAAGTCAATTCTAGCAATGTCCTTG